GTAACATTCAAGTAAAGCTTGGAGGATGATTTACTAGGTGAAAAATTAGGCAAAGGCCCTGAGGCAAGAAAAGCTGTGAGTTCAAAGCACCTGTCAGTCAATACTTATTGAGTGATGTGCCCCCACACTGTCCTAGACCCCTAGGATACAATTATAAAAATGATTTTAAATTCTGGATAAAAAGTTGGGCATGGTGGCACGTGCCTGTAATGCCAGGAGGCTGAGGCAGGAGGATCACAAAATGAAGGTCAGCCTCAGCAACTTAGTGAGACCCTGCATCAAAATAAAAAATCAAAAAGGCTGGTGTTGTAACTCAGTAGTAAAGTACCCTTAGATCCAATCCCTAGTACCACCACCAAAAAAAAAAAAAAAAAAAAAGTGGAGAACACATAAACAAATAAGAATTTGAAAGAGCAAGAGTGCTGTTAAAATTTTTAAGAAAAAAGCTAAAGAAAGCAAAATATTGTGATATGAAGAGTAAGTCAGGGGGGCTGGGGCTGGGGCTCAGTGGCAGAGTGCTTGCCTGGTACATGTGAGGCACTGGGTTCAATCCTCAGCACCACATACAAAAATAAGCAAATAAAATAAAGTTATGCTGTCCATCTACAACTACAAGAAAAATTTTTTGTAAAAAAGAGTAAGTCAGTAATCTACTTTAGACAGAGTAGTCAAAATGTGCCTCTTGGAGGATATGATTTGCGCAGAGACCTGAAGGCACTGAGGAAGGGAACCATGTAAATTGCCTGGGGAAGAACATTCCAGGCTAAGGAAACAGCAACAGCAAAACCTGGAAACAGAAGGAGTCTGAAGTGACTATATCCCAGTGACTGAAGGAGAGTGGTAACAGGTGGGGTTAGAGAAGTAGCAGGACGACAGTATTATATGGAGGCCCTGGTCCGATGTGAGTGGGTAGGTAGGTCATGGTCCGATGTGAGTGGGTGTTGTATTTCAGTGGTGAAGCACCCCGGGATTCAATCCTCAGTATCACCAAAAATAAAGTAGTAAACACATAAACAAATAAGAATTTCAAAGAGTGAAAGGTGGGGATTTTTTTTTTTTTTTTTTTTTTGGACTAGGGATTGAACCCAGGGGTGCTTAGCCACTGAATGACTCACATTTAACAGAAGGATCCCTCTGGCTTCTGGGCAGAGAACAGTATGGATGAGCCATCTCAGCAGTCCAGGCAAGAGGTGAGTGGTGGCCTACATCTGGGGGATAAGCAGTGGATACAGTGAGAAGTAGTTGAATTCTGAATCTATTGCAAAAACCAAGCTGATACAATTTGTTGATAGATTGCATGGAGCTTTAAAAATATGCCTGCAAAATTCTCTGCCATTGAGAAACAGAGCCTAATTCATCAACCTTTCAGTGTAGGTTGCACATACTGATTGACCTCCAATGAACAGAAGTAAGGTAAGAGCCTCCAAGACTAGACCATAAAAGTCACTGCTGCTTCTTCCTTGCACATTCTCTAAAGGAAGTTGGCCACCATCCTGTAAATCCACTCAAGCAGGTCATGGAAAGATCCATGTGGGGAAGAACTAAGGCCTCCTGCCAACAGCCAGCACCATGTAAGTGAATCATGGGGAAGTGGATCCTCCAGCCCAGTTAATCTTCAGAGGGCTGCAGTCCCAGCCAACATCTTGAATGTACCCTCATAAAACACTGAGCAGGAACTACTCAGCTAAGCTCCTCCTGGATCCCTGACCCACAGAAACTGTATGAGATAATTGTTTACTGTCTTAAGCTGCTAAGCTTGGGGTGATCTATTTTAGAGCATTAGATAACTAACAATGATTGAGAGATGAGAGAAAGAGAGGAAGCAAGAGACTGGGGCTGGGGCTCCGTGGTGGAGCACCTGCCTAGTGTGTGTGAGGCACTGGGTTCAATCCTCAGCACCACATAAAAACAAACAAATAAATGCATACTGTCCACCTACAACTACAAAAAATAAAATAAAATAAAGAAATGACTCCAAGACTTTGAATCTGAACACTTGGAAGATGCAGTGGCAATTTACTGAGTTGGAGAATGCTGGGACAGGGAGTAGGAAGGGATCAACGGTTCAATTTGATATGCCAATTACACAGCCAAGGGAGACCCTGGGGAGTACTATGGCTTGAATGTTGTTCATCCCCCAAAGATTTGGGTGTTAAAAGCTTGATTCCCCACCATGGCGCTGTTGGCGTGTGTAGTATGGAATCGTTCAGACTTGAGACTTATTACACTGTGGTTAGGTTACTGGGCGCACTGTCCTGCCTTTAGACGGGGTTCATGCAGTCTTGTGCAGTGAGTTAGCTCTTGTGAGAATGGGTTGTTATTAAAACCAAGATTGGCCACTCCCTCTCTTCTGGCTTCTTATTTCACTACATGAATTCTCCTTCTCAAATGAGCTCCTGCCATTATGATGCTGCTCGCCATGATGCGATGCAGCCACAGGAGTCTCCTCGACAGAGGCTAGATCAGTGGGGTCACCCAATCCTGGACTTTCAGCCTCCTAAACTGTGAGCTCAATAAACCTCTTTCTTTATAAAGTTCTCAACCTCAGTATCTTGTAATAGAAATGGAAAGTGGATGAATAAAAGTAAGATAATGGACCGCTGGCCTGAAGTTCCGGGAACAGCGTGGGGCTAGGGATAGAAATAGATAAACTGATACCACATGGGTTGTGGTAAGCATCATGGCACTGCCTATCACGTAGGGAGTGGGTGTAGATAGAAAAGGCTGGGGCTTTCCAAATTTTAGAAGTTAAAAAGAGGTTTCAGTGGAGACTGAGAAGCAGCAGCCAATGAGGAAGAAAGGAAGATGATCAAAGAGAGTTTAGTGTTCTGAAGGCCAGTAAAGGAAGGAAGGATAATGCGAATTCACTATTCTCAAATTTTAGTGCACATCAGCCACCTGGAAATCTTGTTAAAACACAGATAGCCGGGCCCACATCTGGAATTTCTGATTCAGTTGGTATATTTATCTCTTGTAAAAAATTACCACAAACTTTGCATCTTAAGACAACACAAATTTATTCTCTCAGAGTTCTGGAGGCCAGAAGTCCAAAATCAAGGTGTCAGCATGACCACTTCTTTGAAAGGGTCTTGGGGACAATCTTCTTTGCCTATTCCAGCTTCTGGTGATTTCAGGGGTTTCTTCTGCACACCTCAGTCTCTGCCTACATCTTCATGTAACCTTTTCCTCTAAGAGTTTCACTCCTCTGGGTGTCTCTCTTGTGTCTCTTATAAGGACACTCACTTGTCATTGGATTTAGTGCCAACTCAAATAATCCAAGTTAATTTCACCTTGAACTCCTTAACTCAAAATTGCATCTGCAAAGAATTTTTTTTTTCCAAATAAGGTCATATTCATGGATTCCAGGGGTTAGGAAGAGATTTGGGGGTTGTTTGTTTCATTTTTGTTTTGTTTTGTTGAAGGCCACCACTCAAAACCACCACTATGAGTCTGGCCTGGAGACTGAGAATTGCATTTCTAGTAGGTTCCCAGGAGATGCAGATACTATCCCTGTGGAACCACAACCACTGAGACAGAGAAGTCGAGCCAGATGGGGACCAAGAACTGACCATGTGGATATCACTGGTAACTTTGACAAAAGCAGTTTTTGTGAATGAGTGAAAATGAAAGCTTGACTCAAAGACCTGAAGAGAAGCAGAGGCAGCAGGCATGGACAATTTCACATGTTTTGTTATCAACAAGAGGAAGAAATGATAAAAAGCTGTACAGGGATGTGAGTTCAAAGGGAAATTTGTGTGTGTGTGTGTGTGTGTGTGTGTGTGTGCGCGCGCGCGCGCCAGGGATTGAACCCAGGGGTGCTTGACCACTGGGCCAATCCCCACCCCTTTTTGTGTTTTATTTAGAGTCAGGGCTTTGCTAAATTGATGAGATTGGCCTTGAACTTGGGATCCTCCTGCCTCAGCCTCCCAAGTCGCTGGCTCCCACCATGCCTGGTTCCAGGGGAAAACGTTAAAAATAGAAAAAATATGATTGAGAGATGAGAGAAAGAGAGGAAGCAAGAGACTGGGGCTGGGGCCATGTTTGTATGCTGGTTGGATGGGTAATAGGGAGAATTTGATGACTCAGAGAAAAGTGGAGATAAGACACAGGAGAGATGTGCTTAAGCAGCAAGATCTGGCTTTGGGTCTGGCAGTATGGAGGAGGAGGAGAAGACAGCATTGGGGAATTGGCATAGTGACTGGGTAGATGGTGGGGCTGCCTCAGATGGAGAAACCAGGTGGAGAGAATTGGGGGGAACTCTAAAGCTTTGTATGGAATGTGGTGACAGTCCCAAGGACATCCAGGAGTAAATTGGGTAGAGCTCAGCAGAATGATTTAGAAATTAGAAGATGAGGACTGGGGATGTAGATCAGGGTAGAGTGCCTGCCCAGTGTGTATGAGATCCTAGGCTTAATGCCCAGTGGCACCAAAAGAAGAATCTCAGAATACATGGAGCTGGGTCCTCACAGGCCTGTTTCCCAGGGGCCAGTGGATGACTGGGTAGTGGGGAAACCTCCAAAGTTGGACATCTGTGAGGGATCTGGGACTTGATAAGGGCAGGGGGCCTCTGGGGACATTAGGGGCAACTGCAGAGGCTGCTAGGTGCCTTCCAGCACCCTGGCTCCTCTGTGACCTCCTCCCTTCAGGCTCCAGGGGCAAAGGCAGGAAGTACTGCCTGAGGCTCACTTCCGGCTTCGCTGAGTGTGCTGGCACCACCTGGCCCCCCTCAGCACCCTCAGGGGCCTTCCCACCTCTGGCCCATAGCACTTTCACTTCTCCCAGGTGCCCAGCCCCTGCCCCCCTGGCATGTGGTAGCACTCTGGTCTAGAACAGCACAGATTCCTCTGAGAGAGGGGGGCAAAGACAAGTGGGAGACAGAGGAAGGAGGAGAGGATCCCAGAGAGAAGGGACCAGAAACCCAGAGAGAGGGAGAATTGAGACACAGGTGTGGGAGCAGACTCTTAAGAGAACAGAGGCTCTGTGAGAAGAAGCCAGCCAGCCAGAGAGGGACTGAGACCCAGGGAGAGAGGGTTAGAGACCTAGAGAGGTGGGGAAGAGAGACCCAGAGCAGGGAAAGGGGGACAGAGCAGATGCAGAGATGGGAAAGCTTAGCAGGCCATGAGGTCAGAGTGTCTGTGAGGTCGGTTGCTGTCCAGAGACAGCCCTGGGGTACTGGTGCCCAGACAGATGTCAGTAGATTAGGAGTCCCTGTGGATCCCCCAGCAGGAGCCATGGAGACCTGGGAGGGACCACCCACAGTGTCCTTGGTGACCACCAATTCCAAGGCCCCTCAGGTACAAGAGTGCGTCCAGGTGGGGCGGGTTAGAGAGACAGAGTCATCTCCAGTGAAGCGACTGGGAGGGGCCCCACCCCTCCACCACTAGAACTTCCTCTTTCTGTGTTCTTCCTCCTCTTGGCCTTTCTTTGTGTCTCCTCTCGGCCTCTGTCGCTCTGCCTGTCTCCCCGCTGCCAACACCTCTGTCTGGTCCATCCAGCCAGTCACTCTCCACTCTAGGTGAAGATGTCGGCGCAGGAGAGCTGTCTCAGCCTCATCAAGTACTTCCTCTTCGTTTTCAACCTCTTCTTCTTTGTGAGTTGCCTCGCGTGGCTACCCAGCCCCAGCCCCAGCCCCAGCCCAGCCCCATTCGTGGACCTCATATCCCCTGTCTACTGTCACACTCTCATCTTCCTTCCCCAGGTCCTGGGAAGCCTGATTTTCTGCTTCGGCATCTGGATACTCATTGACAAGGCCAGCTTCGTGTCGTTTGTGGGTGAGGGGGCTGGGGCAGTCAGGGAGGGCCTTCCTGTAGCAGACCTGGACCCAGCCTGCCACCAAGCAGCCTCCCGCGGTCTCCCTTATCCTAACGAGGCCAAGAATGCCCAATTCCCCAGGCAGATGCCAGCCTTACCACTGTCACTCACTTCTCAAAGCCTGTCTTCCTCTGGAAAATGGGGTTGTGCATACCAATAATAATAACAGTGACAACAATATTCATTTCTCAAGCTCTTCCTGTGTCAGATCTTGAACTGATATTCATCAGGTCCTCCCATAAACCTTCCCATCTCTTGAGATTCATAGAGGGGAAGTCCCTTGTTGGTGTCACACAGCAGGAAGCAAAGGGCAAAATTGTTATAATAGACATAATGAAAGTAAGCTCATATTTACTAAGTGTTTGCCTTGCATTAGCGTTGGGTTCAACTTATACTCCATGTGTCCAGGTGCAATGACACAGTTATTCAGGAGGCTGAGGGAGGAGGATCGTTTGAACTCAGGGATTTGAGGCCAGACAGGCAACAGAGCAAAACTAGATCTAAAAAAAAAAAAAAAAAAAAAACTCTAGGAAATAAATATCATTCTCTTGGCTTCCAGGGGTTTTAAGTGACAGAGGCAAAGTCACAGAACAAGTGATGGGGCTGACACTATCAGTGTGAGGAGGAGTTAAAGGAGGAAAAGAGAAAATGAGAGCCAAATAGAGGGACACAGATGCTGATGGGGGAAAACACAGTGGGGGAGACAGTAGGAGAAAGTCTTAGAAGAGAAACAGAGACTCAGGATGGGGCAAAGATGGTCCCAGAGAAAAGCAAACATTCAGAGAAAGGGAGGTCCAGGGCACAGGGAGAGGCCCCTAGGACACTGCACCGCACTTGGGTGGCTGCCTGGGTGGGGCATGGAGTTGCCTGGAGCTGTGCACTTGGGTCCACCATCACTGCCTCTCACTTCTTCCAGGTTTGACCTTCGTGGCCCTGCAGATCTGGTCCAAGGTCCTGGCCATCTCAGGAATCCTCACCATGGGCCTCGCCCTCCTGGGTTGTGTGGGGGCCCTCAAGGAGCTCCGCTGCCTTTTGGGTCTGGTGAGTGCCCTGCCCACTGGCCATCCTCAAGAACACTTCCCCATTGAAAAAGGCCAGGGGAAAAGGTCAGCCTGACCTCTCCCCTCTACTCACTAGTATTTTGGGATGCTGCTGCTCCTGTTTGCCACGCAGATCACCCTGGGGATCCTCATCTCCACTCAGCGGGTCCGGGTGAGCGCCTGTCAATAGCACCCCATCCCTGGCAGCTGAGTAGGTAGTGTGGGGTTTGCAGGAGTGGTGGAGAGATGGAGGGGGAGGGGGGAAGCAGATAGGCACTGACAAAGAAATAATCGGCAAAGAAGATGGAAAGAAACAAGGATACCGAAGGACAGAGATGCAGATACAGAGGCTGACAGACACAGAGAAGGAGACAGAGAAAGACACAAGGACATAGACAGAGGGAGGGAAACGCAGAGATCCAAAGGGAAAGTCCAGCATGGTGGTCAGCCAGCAGTCTCAGATATTCAGTCACTCCGGAGGCTGAGGTGGGAGGATTGCTAGAGTCTAGGAGTTGGAGGCCAGCCTGGGCGACATAATGAGCCCCTGCTGATGGAGGAGGGTGGGGAGGGAGAGAGACGGAGAAATAGAAGTCCCAGAAATGTTATAGATACCTAATGACCCCTAGAAATAGAGGATGACAGAAATGCGTAGAAAGAGATTCTGAGCAACAGAGAAACAGCTAACCATTCAGGGAGGAACCAAGTCAGTGCAAAGATATGCCCAGGAACCCGTTGGCACTGAACAGCCTGGGAGGGGCTGGAGTGGGATGGGGCTGATGAGGCCCAGCCTCACCCACAAACTCTCAGGTGGAGCGAAGAGTGCAGGACATCGTGCTAGAGGCCATCCAAAACTACCGTGCTGATCCGGAGGAGACAGCGGCCGAGGAGAGTTGGGACTATGTGCAGTTCCAGGTACATGAGCCCAACCCCGAGGTGTACCCCTTCTCTAGCTCCAGTATTCTAACAAGGCTCAGTTCAGCTCGATCCATCAAGGAGACTCCGCCCTACTGGGCCCAGCCTCCAGCTCCAGGGCTCGCTCATTCTAACCCCACCCCCGACATGGCCCCACCCCCAGATAATAATATAACTAGCTCCAACGTAGCCCGGTACCCCGACTCCGCCCTCTACCTCAAGACCCCGCCCCTGCCCTCACGAGGCGGCAGGAGTCCCAATAGCTCTGCATGATCCCGAGCTGGAACCTCTGACTCTGACAGATCCCAACCCTTGGAGAGACTCCACTCCCTAGATATGTAGCTCTGCACCCATCCACCTAACCCTGTGGGAGGCAGTCTTGCACCTCCGACCCAATCTCCGGTTCACAACGTGATGCTTTCTTCTAGCCCCAGGTCACCCCGTGACTCACATCTCTCCTAGTTCTTAAGTATCTCTCCTGGCCCTAGCCCTGGCTCCATCGCAGTCCCAGCCCAGCTCACCTTTCCCTGCCCTTCACGAACCACTCAGCTCCCTGCTCCCCTGCCATGACCTGATATTCCTGACTGGTATCCCTCTCTCAGCTGCGCTGCTGCGGCTGGCATTCTCCCCAGGACTGGTTCCCGGTCCGCGTCCTGAGAGACAACGGGTCGGAGGCGCACCACGTGCCCTGCTCCTGCTACAACTCCTCGGCGGCGACCAATGACTCCGCAGTCTTCGATAAGATTATCTTCCCCCAGCTCGGCCGGTTCGGACCGCGGGCACGACCCAGGCACAGTACAGACATCTGCGTGGTCCCTGCAAATGGCCATATCTACCGCGAGGTAAGAAAGGGTTGGAGGAGCTGTGGCTGTGGCTCAGCAGTAGAGTGCTTGCCTGGCACGTTCGAGGAGCTGGGTTCGATCCTCAGCACCACATAAAAATAAATAAAGGTACTGTGTCCAACGACAACCAAAATATATATAATATATATAAAAGAAAGGGCCTGGAGCAGAACTAACTCGACCAGACTGAACAGGTGGGGTGTGGCATGGGGTGTCGCCTGAGGTGGGGGGGGGCGAGAGAAGGGTGGGGCTTTAACGAAGGGTACAACGGAGGGGCGGGAACCTCCAAAGGGGGCGGAGTCTGATGAAAGGGCGGGGCTTTAACACTGAGGTCAAGGGCGAGGAGACATTTGGGAGAGGTGAGGCGGCTGTACAGGAGCTGACTAGAGAATCCGAGCAACAGGGGGAAAAAATGGGCCGGTGTCTGAAAGGAGAAGGCCAAAGTGTGCAGAATATTAGGGTTGGGCCTGAGGGCGAATCCTAGAAAGCTGCCTTTAACCTTCCCCTATACGTCCAGGGCTGCGCACAGAGCCTCCAGAAGTGGCTGCACAACAACCTCATCTCCATAGTGGGCATCTGTCTGGCCGTCGGTCTACTCGAGGTGATTTGGCTCCGCTCACACTCGCGATTGGCCCTAGTCTATAGACAGACCTACCTTTAACCCCAAATCCTCGGGTAACCTGGGAAGGACGCATGCGTCACGGAGTCCCGCCCCTCCTGGCTCTCGCGCTGCCGCCTCCGGATGGGAGGGGCGGAGACCTAGCTTCGGTGAGCCCTGATTGGCCGTAGCAGGAAAGCCTCCTGTTATTGGCCACACTATCGCTCCCCTTTCCTCGCAGGTGAGTGTGATGGTGCTGAGCTTACAGCTGCGGCGCAAAGCACCCCGCCGGGAACCCGAGCCGCATATGGGTCCGGGTACTTCAAGCCCTCCGCCCTGCCTTAGTGCCGACAGCGGTGGCGGTCGCTGTGGCGTCCTCACCAGCAGCGGACGTACCAGTGCTTCGTGGGGTGGATGGGGCATGGCCGGTGCTTGCCCCAACTGGGGGGGAAAAGTCCCGCAGGGCAAGCTTCCCATGGCCCTGGGGCCCTGGCGGCTTTCGGATCAAGAGGAAGAGCAACCTGATACTGGGAGTTCTAGCGCAGAGGTGGACGTAGAAGCTGAAGTGGAGGGGGAAACAGATGAACCTCCAGAATAAAGGACCCTAGGCTTGCTTCCTACCTGACTCCTTCTCGGGCTCAACCCCGCCGCCTCCCCACCTGTTGACACAGGGCTTCCCCTACTCGAGGTTCCTGGACTCATCACTGCTGTAGCTCAGCTTATCATTCTCTAGCTCTCAACTTACCCACTTCTTCCTCTAGCCCCACCCATTTTCTACCTACCCCCCCCCACACACACACACACAACACAGGAGCCTTATTTTCTTACCCTAACCCCACCTTCTGACTTTTCTGCTTCCAGGGCCAAAGTCACCCCTCACCCCCTTCACTGGAAGCCCTTTGTCATCTCTGATTGCGTCTCCTTTCTCCATAGCTCGGCTTCATGACGCTCTCGATATTCCTGTGCAGAAACCTGGACCACGTCTACTACAACCGGCTGGCTCGATACCGCTAGACCCCTCCCCGACCCCTTCAAGTGCCCTGGACTTGTAAATATTTGTTTCCCTTGAGCCCTCCACCTCCTCATTCCCTTGGGGACCCAGATGTCTGCCTGGCCACTGCCACCACCTCCCCCAGGGGACCTGGGGCTTCCTGCCCCACACATGCTTCCTTTCCTTGACTCATCTGTTGGCCTACCACCTCCCACAAGATTATTTTTCACTCAAACCTCAAATAAATCCCCTGCATTTTGGTAAATTAGCCTTATTCTTTGTCAGAACACAAACCAAAACGCTTTGAATGGGGAAAGCAGCAATCTAACCCAAGGCTCACATAGAAGAAGGGAGATGAGATTAGAAAGACGCACCCCTCTCCTTACCCAGCTGCGAAAAAGTCACAACCCAACACCCACCTATAAATACTTCGTTATATTTTTTAAAAAACAAAATATTTGCAGGGCCCACCTGGCTCTGCACAAAAAGGTTAATCCTCAATTTGTGACATCACAGATCAGAAGGGGGGGCAGATATTTAGGGGAGGAGGCAGCTGGAAAAAAGGAAGACAAGCCAATGTGGAACCAGGGCCTGCCAAAACATCCAGAAGAGAGTTAGAGGCCAGGAAACCAGTGGTGGTGTACCTGGGGGTTGTCTTATTCCTGTCCCCAATCCCTGATGCTCAGGAGTTTCAAACACCCCCTATGAGGTCCCAGTACTGGGGTCTATCTTCAGTCCTGGTTTGTTCAGCTCACCAAGCAGGTTTGGGGGTCCTTTCTAATAGGAGACAATCCTCGTTGTTCAGGCCTCTGTGGTCAGCCCCTTTCCATCACAGCCCCATTCCCAAATAAGAATCATGAAGAGAGCTGGAGGGTCCTTCCTAGGAGGAAGGTGTTCTGGGGCTGAGCCAACTGTGGGCTCCTTCTTCAGTCCCTGACCAGGCGGTAAATGTGGTGCTGGGCCCCACGCTCACTGGTGGAGACCTCGAAGACGTAGGCGGTGCAGAGCAGCAGTTCCTGGGTATCTCTGTTGGTCACCACCTGCCAGGGAGGCCAGGAGAATGGGCTTATGCTTAGAAGGATTCCTGGGGCCTTGCCAGGCTACCAGGGGACCCCCAGCAGGCCTCTTTACCACCTGCCAGTAAACTACATTATGTTTCCCCAAGTAAAAAGGTGCCCAATGGGTCAGGTTCCCTGGACAATAGGGATTGTCCCTAAGCTGAGGATCAGCAGTGGAGAGGCCTCGAATCCTACCACGTCATATTCCCCAGGTTTCAGAGATCTCCACCATGTCATAGGTAAAGAGAGTCACCAGATGCCCCAGTCAACAGGTCTCTACCTCAGCACATCCCCCCAAATTAAATGGACTCCCTTTAGCTCATGATCCCTGAGCCAGGATAGATTCCCTGGGAAACTGAGAATCACCTTGAGGTGTCCCCCATGTCAATTTCCCCAATGAGAGGGATCCTTCTATGTGAGAGTGCTGTAAAGTCCCCCATCACATCAGCTCCCTAGGGGAACAGAGCCTATGAGCTAGGGGTCCCTATTGCCTCAATTTCCAGGATGAGGGTTCCCTCTGGAGCTCCCTCTGCATCAGTCCCCTGGGTAAAGGGATCCCCTAAGCTAAGGATCTGTGGAGAGCACTCTTCTCTACGTCAGGGCCCCTGTTCCAGCCAGACCCCACCCCCACGTCACCTGGAGGATGGTGAAGTTCTCAAGGACGCTGTTCATCATGTATCGCTCGGGCAGCTGCCGCAGCTTGTGCAAAAAATTCACCAGGTACTCGCACATAGGTGAGCGCAGCAGGCGGTACACGAAGCGCCCGTCCTCCAGCTGGGCCCGCTCTGTCTGAATGGGGGCAGGGAGTGGGGAGGACAGTGGCTAAGACACACACAGGGCACCTAGGAATGGAGCCCAGCATGCCCCTCAGATGCCACACTCACTCCCACCGCCGTCTCCCCTCCAGCAACCCACCCTCAGTGCCCAGAGACCAAGCACTGAACACTCAGTGTCTTCTGATACAGGATCTGAGCACGCAAACCAGAAACCCCTCCACGTCCTCTGAACTCTCAACAACCTTATTGGACCTCCATACCCTCCAAGACCCTTGCCCCATGATACCTACAGACTGTACTTGAAACCCCCAAGGTCCCAGAAAGCCCTAAATCTGACTTCTGAACCTCTCTGCCCTGCAAATTCTTCATATCCATAGAGTCTTTTGAATCTTACTGACAATCTTCACACCTTTCCACTCTCAAAATGCCCCCTATCTGTGGCTTCCGAAGCCTGTGTTAGCTCCAAGCTCACACACTAAAACCCCCAGAGGCTGCGACTGCTCCCCACACCGCACACCCCACAAATGCCTGTGCCATCATGGCTCATGGTCTGTGTGGCACCCCCAGAGGGGAGATGGCGCCCACACCTCCAGCCTCACCTCCACCTTCTCCACCACCTGCTTGCCAAAGGAGCAGACCTTGGAGGAGCAGGTGAGGGTCATGTGCTCCAGGCTCTCGTACTGGCTGCTCACTCCATAGAAGCCACCGCTGCTGCCGCCACTGCTGCCAGCCCCTGCCTCCTCACCACTTGGGCCCCAGTTCAGGTCCGCCTGGGAGATGGGGAAGCACAGGGTGAGTAGGAGGGGACATCTTTATAAACCCTGCCCCAGAGCTGGTTTCCTGTTGCCCCTGTAGTTGTCCACCATCTTCCTCAGCTTTTAAAGTTCCCGTATCTCCATGAGCTGGTTTCTGGAGAAGACCCACCCATCCCATCAGTGTTGGAAAAGTCTGGGTCCTCAAAATGGTCCTGACACTCTCTCCCCAGTAGCCAAGGAATTCTGGAATTCATATTTTTCCTCTTGAAGCCCTAACATAAGAGTTCAGCCCCTTCCAAGGGCCCAGTTACTAAGGAGGCAGTTACCCCTAGCAACAGGTTGAGACCCAATGGCCTCCCTCAGAGCCCTTCACTACCTTGGTTGCTAAGGTAAATACTACTCCCTAGCAACAGGGCTGGACTCCTCTCCAGAACACTCTCCAGCACTTTCAGCTGGTGCTCCCAGGTAAGGCCCCCTGCGTCATCCCAGATGCCAAGTGTGCAGACAGGTGGTCAAGTGGTCATTAGACCAGGAGGGGCCTAATGAAGCCTGAGTCTGAGCCACCTCCTTGGGAGGTAGAGGATACCTCTCCTCTTCCTAACTTTAAGTTGTTAACACCTTGCCAGATCAGTCTCCTCAAAAGCTTGACTCCATCCTCCATCCTGGCAACAGGACCCTGTGAAGCCAGGCAACACCCAAGCCCTTATCAGCAGGCTTCCTAAGTCTCTCCAGATCTGGGAGTTGCTGGGGCCTGTCTTAAGCCCTAGCACTGCCCAAGATCTCTGCAGCACATACCATCTTGGGCCTTCACACCACAAGCCAGAAAGTTTTAAAACCATAGTCAGTCATACCCAGCAAGACCAGGACAGCTCAAGGCCCCTCAAAGCAGACTTTCTCCTGAGAGACTAGATCCCTCCACCACCCTGGTTACCTCAGGAGTTAACATCCCCTTGAAATTCAGAAAACATTTGTTGAGCCCCTGTAGTGTCAGTTATTGTACTGGACACCAAACCAAATAGGCCTAAAAAACACCCAAGATGGATCCTTAGTCACGATTATATACAGTCATCCCTTGGTTTCCATGGGTACTGGTTCCAGGATTCCCCATAGATTCCAAGGTCTGTAGACCCTGAAGTTCCTCATATAACCTACACACATGCTCCTGTATACTTTAAATCACTTCTAGGTGACTTATAACACCTCATACAATGTAAATGCTATGTAAATAGTTGTTATACTGTATTGTTTAGGGAATAATGACAAAAAAAAAAAAAAACCTGTACATGTTAGCACAAACACAACCTTCGTAGGCCTAACTACATTTTCTACCTGCAGCTTGATGTGAAATCCAGATACACCAAGGGCTGAGTATGCATAGCACCTGGTATCAGGTATAATAAACGTTCAATAAATGATTGTCCCCAGGGCAAGACATTCTCTAGCAATCTGGTGGAAACTAGCAAAGTCTCAGTCCCACCTATAGAGACCAGAATCCTCCACAACTCCATGGGCTAAGGGAGGTGGCTGTTCCTTAGCAACAAGGTTGGTGTGGTCAGGTGGGGCCTGGAGTGACCTGAACGTGGAAAGCCAATCCTAAGACACATTAGTCCCATGACTTGGGGTGGCAGCCTAGTGGGTTCTGGGGAGTCTCAAGTGCCTCCATCCCGCTCCAGGGGCTGGACTCCTCAGCATTCCTTCTTGCAACCGAGACTGACACTCAAGCCCTGAGGACTGACCCGTAAGGCCCAGGCTGTCCTGAGAAGTCCTGAGACTCTTCCATCTAGCCAGTGGCCTTAGCTGGGATGTCACGTGGTCTTTAAGCACTTTTGGTTTTGCTTCCAGAACTCACCCAGAACTTGACCAAGAAAAAGGCATGGGGAGGGCCTCGATCATACAGCTCCCGCAGACCACCCTTTTTCTCAGGAAATTTGTCGTAGATCTGCCGGACGTCCACACTCTCCAATGGCGGTGCTCCAGGACTGGGACAATGCTGACTGATGTGCACAAACAGGTGCCTCTGGTACTGGAGGAGGGCCAACCGTGAGTGGGGGGTGGGGAGTGGGCTGGACTCCTGACCTCACTGCACCAGGCCATCCCACACTGTCACCATCCCCACAGCCCCTACCTGGTGCTCCACATTGTTCACTGGTACACTGTTCACACCCATCTGCCCCCAAAGCACTCCCAGTTCCTGGGCCCCCAGCATGACCCCAGCCTCCACCGTCTCCCCTCTATCTCATTCCTCACAGGGCTCTCCAGAGAGCATACCCTGGCCCTCTCCATAGTCCTTCCATGGCTTTCTAGTGCCTCCAGGAAAAACCCACAACCCAGCCCTGTATACAACAAGTGCTCATGAACATTCAATGGATGGATAGGTGGTTGGATGGATGTATGGATAGGAATCCACATAGCCCATATCCAAGACTCTCTATCTGTCCCCATTCTCATGATTTCTTAATTTCTCCCATCTTCTCCTCCAGTATAAATCTTCTGTCCATCTTTCCAGACCCAAGTTAATCAAATCTGCCTAACTCTGGAAGCCTCGTTTGATCACAGTCAGACAGGATCTCTCTACTCCCATCCTTTCCATGGTTCCCCAACTGCCCTTAAGAGGAAGCAAGCTGAAAACCAGCAGCACCCACCCATCCCCAGCCTCACCCCCTCCCCACTACTCTATTATTTGTTTCCCTGGAAATTCCATGCTCTGCCCATCTCTACGCTTGGAGCATCTAATGCTGCATGCACATGGCAAACCCCTATGCAACCCTCAAAGCCCAATTCAATTACTGTCATCTCAGGAAGCCTTTGCTGACTCCCTGGGGAGAATTATTCCTCTGTATTTCCACAAAAACTCAGTTTCCTCAATGCCAGCACATACTCATTATTCAACAGACATGCATTGAGAAACCTGCTGTATGCAGACATTATTCTGTCCTGGCACTACAAGACAAAGTCTATGACCTCATGGATTTCACAGTTTACTGGCAGAGAAAAAAAACTTAAAAATCAGCCTACAATTAATGTAAATTTCAAGGAGCAATATATGCTATGAAAAGAAATCATAATAAAGAAGCTGAAAGTGATGGCACCTGAAATTTCCATCAAGTGGTTTGGGAAAGCCTATGAGAAAATAAACTGTCCTGAAGGTATGTAATTATGAGTCACGACGTGGTCTGAGGTTTGCAAATTCCAGACAACAGGAACAGCAGGTGCAAAACCCTTAAAGCTGGGGTGGGCCAGGTATGTTCAAGAAAGAGCAATCAGGTTGATATAGCTGGAGCAGACTAAACCAGTAAGAGAGGACAGGAGGTCCAAGCAGAGAGGGAATGGAAAGGTACAGATATCTTTTTTTTTTTTTTTTTGGTACCAGGGATTGAACTTAGGGGTACTTGACCACTGAGCCACATCCCTAGCCCCTTTTTTTTTTTCCTTTTTTGTATTTTATTTAGAGACAGGGTCTCACTGAGTTGCTTACCACCCCGCCCTGTTGCTGAGGCTGGCTTTTGAACTCACGATCCTCCTGTCTGTCTCCCGTGCCGCTGGGATTACAGGTGCATGACACCGCACTAAGCAGGTGCAGATCTTTGTGGGCAACTGAACGGACTTTAATTTTTCCCTCAAGTGGCATGGAAAGATTTTAACCTAATCCAACTCAAGTTTTAGCAGCATCACCATTTACTGTGATTGGTGATTCCATTGGTGCTTGTGTGGCTATGGGTTCAAACTCCTTTTCACCGCACTAAACTACATTTCCCAGGTCCCTTTGCAGTTAGCTGGGACCGCATGATAAAGTATTAGCCAATGGGATGTAAGCAGACTTGATCAATGCCACATCCAAGCCAGAGGCAAAAAAAAAAAAATACCAGAATAATCTTGCCTCTCTCCCTTCCTCCATCTGCTGGCCAGATGCAGAGAATCCAGCAAACGATTTTGAAGTCCTAGAAAATGGCAGAACCATAAAATGGAAGGAGCCTGGATCCCCAAATCACCATGTGGAAGATTCCTGCTGAACACCTACATTGAAATATGAGTAAAAAATGTCTATAGTGTTCAATGCCTGAAAGCTGAGAGTTGTTTCTTCTAACAGCCAGCCCATCCTGACTAGCACAGCATCCATCTTCATCCTATCCAAGGAGAAATCTGAGCCCCCAGCAATAAGATCTGTTTCTCCAGGTTCCTAATGTGTATCTCAAAACCTATCGAACAGCAGGAATTCAAATGTGTTTGGTGAATGAATGAATGGATAGATGGATGATGTCCTGGGGAGTTTCTCTGATCTTCACAACCTGAGACCCCATGACCTTCCAGTTCCTTTATGCTAGTGCTTCTCAAAACGTGGTCTCTGGGACCAGCTGCCTCAATATCATCTGGGAGGTGGTTGGCGATGCAAATTCTCAAGCTTCTCATCTAGATCAGAAATTCTGGGGGTGGGGCCCAGCAGCCAGTTTCACACGCCCTCCATTCAGGGAAGCACCGCTCTATGCATTCCCTCCCCATCACCCTCAAGTTCCCAAATCCCCCAGTGACAATCCCAAAACCTCACTCACAGAGTCAACTGCATCGGGTGGTTCCACAAAGGCTGAGAACTCCACCAGCTGCAACCGGGCAGTGCCCAGAGCCCGAGCCTGCCAGGCTGGGGGTGATGGGGCAGGTGGAGGCAGGGGTGAGAGGGCTTGGGGAGGCTCGTACCCTAGAGAAAGAGAAGAAGAAACAATAAAAATGGCTAACATTTACTGACTGTCTCAGGCACTGTGCTCTCTTGCCTGCCTCCACTTAGAAGCTGAAAAAGCTAAATACTCACTTTCCCAGCCTCCCATGCAGCTAGAGGTGGCCATGTGACACAGTCCTGGCCAATGAGACGTTAGGGGAAATCTGCTGGGGGGCTTCTGGGAAGGAGTTTCTTCCTGAATAAAAAAGACAGAACTTTGGGAGGAGAAAGTTTTTGGCCCTGGCCAAGTCCTGCTTGAGAATGTGATGTCTAGGGTAAGAGAAGCCATCTAGCCACAGTAAGACAGAGGCCAAGGGAACTACAGAGATGCCAATCCTGATATTGTTGAGCTGCTGAACACAAAGGCAGCCCACCTTCAGAGTTGTTATGTGGAATCATTAAAGCCTTTACCATGTAAGGCACTAGTCGTTTGGATATTATATTACTTGCAGCCATAGGTATTGGACTTGCTCTTTCATCAGTTAATGTTGATATTGAGGGTCACATCAACATGGACTTCTGAAAACCATCTTGGCTGCCAGGTGGGAAATGGAAGTGCCATTGAAGAAAGCAGATGGAAGTAGGTCCTGGTGCTACCCTAAGAACCCTTGGATCCAGCCATGCCTGAAGCCACAATTCTGGACTATATGTTAATTGAAACCAGTAAATTCTTTTTCTCCACTCTATTCAGTTTTATTTGGGTTTCTTTCTCTTGCAACTGAAAGAATTTTGACTAATACACTTCCCAATGACTTATAAACTAGCACGTGGCAGAACACGAACCCAGGATGTTTCGATACAGAAGCTGTGCTCCTAACCATTGCAAATTCTGCCACTTACCTTTCCAAACAAACACCCTGCCCCTGGCCAGATACCCTGCCTCGGTAAGAATGTGTCCCCTGACTAATGGAAGGTTGAAGGAGAGACTTGGGGTCAAAGGTAGAGAGGGCACACAAGGAGAGGAAGATAACAGACTCTTACCTGGGAGGTCAGTAGATGGGGGAGTCAGTGACAAGGAGAACGGTGTCTGTGAGAATGGCTTCACGCTAAGGGACAAAGGAAGCCAGGGTCAGCAGAGTGGAGAGGTGCGGGGAGGCGGGGACTGCAGACCCTGCGCTAACATATTACATGCATGGTCTCATTGAACACTCACACCCAATGAGGTAGGTGCAATGACTGCTCTTCTCATTTTGCAAATAAGGAAACTGAGGCACAGGGAGATCAATCAATCTGCTCAAAGCCACACAGCTAGGGTGCAGTGGAGCCTGAACTCAAATCCAGTGCCTTTCACAAAATGCCAGAAAGAGAAGAGAAAGCAGGTCTTAAGAGATGGGAGAAGACACAGAAGATGGAGAGTTTGGAGAAAGGAGAGACTGAAGGGTGAGGAGTGTTGGAAGAAATGACTAGACATCCAGCCAAAGGCCAGGGTGGGAAGGCAGAGCCGTCCAGTGGAACTTTCTGTTTGATGGAAACGTTCCACGCAGTGCAGTAGCCACTGGCCACATGTGACTGAGCAGCAACGTGGCCGGCGCACCTCAAGATCTGAATTTCCACATCATTTAATTTTAATGTAAATAGCCACCTACGGCTAATGGCCATAGGTTCAGACACAGCCCCAGAAGCCCAGAGGTAGCCCAGGAGAGAGAGTGGTGAGGAAATTTGGGAGTCAAAGGTCAGGAGAGAAGTCAAGGGTCAAAAGACCAGGATCAGAAAGGAGCTCCAGGGACCTTCGGACCCCACCTCCCGGGCCCTCTGCCCCAGTCCTTGTCGTTTCAATTCTGAACGCTAAACTCTGCTTGTTGACATGATTTTTTTGTCATCAGGGTCATTACTCTAATGCTACCTTCTCAGACGGGGCTTTCCTGACCCCTGTCTAAAACAGCGCTCTTGGGGCTGGTGGGTGGCTCAGTGCTGGAGCTCTTGCCCAGCAAGTGGGAGGCCCCCCAAAAAATAAACAAATAAAACAGAGCATGTGTACCCTGCTTTATTTCTCAGAGTTATTCCTTTTCTTATTAATTCTTGATTTTTACATGTTTACTGTCTATCTCCTCCCTCCCCTCCCCAACTATATAAGCTCCATGAAGATGAGGATTCGGTCTCCCTTGTTCACTGTGGGGTCTCAAAACTGAACACAGCACTTTATAGGTGCTCAGTAAATACCTGACTGGCCATTTGCTAAACACTGGCATCTCTCACTTCCTGGATCTCACCACTGTCCTACTTCAGGGCCTTGTCACATGCTCTTTTCTCTGCCTGAAATATTCCACCCCCTTTCTTTACCTGGTTAAGCCTTCCTCAGTCTTCAATGTTATCTCCTCAAAGAAATCCCCAGAACTTTCTCCTCCAACCTAGAAGCTCCCGTGGTTCTTCATAGCACTTCACACATCTCATTTCGTGTTTTTATGAGGGTGATGATTTAATTAACATTCAGCACCCCAACACACACTTGAATATCGGCTCCATGAAAGCGGGGAGCCCAGCACTCAGTATGGTGCTGGTGAACGGCCCCTCCTGTAATGGCTTCCCCGCAAACCTGTGATTCCTTCAGCCCCAGGAACTTGTTCTGACATTCTCCTCTGTCCACAGTTTAATGTCTCCACTCCCAAACTGGATACCCCAGTCTGTCACCTAACCCTTTCTCTGCCAATACCCTCAACACTTCCCTGCGACCACACTACCCTTCCAATACCCAGGCTGGGTCCACTGGCTCCTCTCTGGGATGGAAAATGCCCTTCCCATGAGTCTCTGGAACTCCCCTCACCAGTCCCAGCAGCCTCTGGACATACAGAGGCTCCTAACACTCTGGACTTACAAGTGCCTTCCCATGAGCCCCTGGGGCCCAGACGGTCCCTCTGGGAAGCTGTTTACTCATAATATCCTCCAGGCCAAAACCCACTCCTCTCGCAGGCTGCACACCTCCAGACAGCCCCTCCAACTCAAGTCATCAGCCTCCTCCCTCTGTCCCAGCCCGACAGGGCCTATGGCATCCCTTCTCCTCTGGGCTCCTGCTGCCCCATCCCCTTCCCACTAGCCCAGCTCAGACCGGGTCCTGAGCACTTCCTATATGCAGGTTCTACGCTAAACATTATACACAGGTTAAACTCATTTATCCCAACAGAGTTAAATCCCAACAAGGGTGTGAGACAGGTATTGTTATTGCCCCCCATTTTAGAGATGAAGAAACTGAGGTTCTGAGCATTGAAATCACCTACCCAGGGGCCCATGAACAACAAGGAGCAGGACGAGGATTCACATCCAAATAGCTTGGCTCCAGAATTTGTGTTCAAAAGAGAGTTGGGAGGTGTAAGGTGGGGTCATAAATGTGGAGGGTGAGGGTCAGGTGCCAAGCCAGAACACAAAGTACTCACTCTGGAACATTCCAGGGTGGGCCAGAGCCCCCTGACCAAAACTGGAAAAGTTCAGTGGCCTAGAGAGAAGACAAAGAAGGTGGGGGGGAGGGGTCAGGTGGTCCTCTGTTGGCAACTGCAGGCCCACCCCTCCAGCCCAACCCCCACAATTCCCAGCCTAGGCCACCTGAGGACCGGCAGGGCCCAGTTTGGCCTGTAGGGAAGGTGCTGAGATGAGCTGGGCAGAGGACATGGTAGCCATCGTCTGGAAAGCCTTGTCCTTAGAAACCTGGTCCTGGGGGGAAGTTGAAGGTCCATATTAATGGGGGACACCAGTCAACACTGCCAGGGGGGACAATAATGAGGCGGGGCAAGGATGGGAGATACAGACCCAGGGAGTCAAGGCAAAGGGTCAAAGGAGGGTTAAGCCCTTTCCCCAGCGCCCTCTACCCCTCCTGGTCTCCTTAGGGATGGGGCAGTTGTCTGGGGTAAGTGTACGTGGGAAATGGGCAGGGGCACTTACCACATTCAAGGCCTGCAAAGAAGTGAGGGAAGGTTCCACAGGAGGGAAGAAAACACCACTTAGGAAGGAAGCCTGGACTCCCCTACCTCCCTACCCTTCCAGCCTGCCCAGCCCTGGCACCCTGAGCTGAGCAAGGGGGGAGTGATGGATGGGTACGGATCAGCAAGCAGAGGTGGCCAGCCCTTGAGAGGAAAAGGACTTTCTGCGACCAGAATAAAAGACCCTAATGAGAGTTTCTAAGTCAAGAAAAAGCCGGAAATAGAGGTTTCCAGATGCCCAGGCAACAGGAAATGAGAATTACAGAGCCCCAGGGAATAGAAGGTAAGTGTTTCCTAATCCCAAGCAGAACAGAGAGAGAACAGACACGGTATAGAAAAGGCCGGAAGCAAAGGTTTTCGACACAGAGAGAAAGGAAGGGAAAGCTTCCTGGTACAAAAAAGAAAAAACGAACAGGAAGTGATTATCTCCAAGTCTATACGAAGAGGCAGAGAAGACCTCATACCCAGAGGGACAGAAAATGAGCGTCTCAGACTAAGAAGAAATAGGAAATCCAGAAGACAGAAAAAAAGAAAAAGAAAATGGATATGAAAATCTCCAACAGGAAATGAAGCTTTCTGAGCACAGAAAGAACAGCAGGCCCCATGGGGGCTGGAGATGGGGGGATGAACCAGGGAGTCAAAGAGGAGGCCCTCAGAGCACAAGAGGGGAAAAGCAATGAGCTCATCAGGAAGGGCCAAGAGCACAGGGAAGAGGGACAACAGCACTAGCCTCTGGGGAGTCCGCACAGCCCTGCCTTCTTCCCTATCCCAAGCTCAGGCTCCTCCCTTTCTCAGGTCTCTCTCTACCCAGGGTCTCAGTACCCCCAGTCTTCTGGGTCTCCCTCCCCATCCCTCTGGGTCTCGGCCCTTCCCCCAGGTCTCCATCTGCCCCTCAGGGTGTCTGCCTGGGCATTTACCTTCAGTTTGGACTGGATTTCCCTGGATTTCCTTCGAGCCAAAACCTGGATATGACTAGAGACCTGCAGGTATCGACGAAGAAGCAGACTGAGCTCACAACCACCCATCTCTGTCCATTCCCCCTTCCCTCCCTCAGGTGCCCCACAGAGCTGCCAGCACTTGAAGGGCGACAGGCAGACAGGTCATTTCTGCAGTGTTCAAACACGTGGTGCCCACAAGCTGTTTTTCCCAGGAACTCACTAACACCACTCATCTTTCCTGACCCAGCAAATCCAGGCTCCTGTCCTGTCTTCATCCTTCCCTCTTTGACTTTTTCCTGGTCTCTCTGTCTGCTAGGAAACTGCTGCCAAGCAGACAGACCAGGCCTCCAGACATGCCAAGGACACAAGCAAAAACACATGAACCAGAGCCTCCTTTTGAGGCTGAATTAGCCCATACAAAGATGGCCCTAAAGGGACAAGCTGGCCCCAGACAGAAGCCCAGAAATGGGTTCTGAGACCTGTTTGCGAGTCCGGGTCTTCCCTGTTCTCAGCTTGATGTAGCGGGCAATCAGTTCATTACGACCTGAAGAGTCAAATTAAAACAGAGTTAGGCCATTAGGAGAACTTCCTGACAGAGTGAACACCAGGAAAGAAGAGAGTAGCAACAGTCCCCAAAGGGTTATAGCAAGCTGGGGGGCTGGTCTCCTCACTTCTATGGGGCCAGACTGCCTGGGAGCATATCCCATCCCTGCCACATACTAGCTCTGACCTTAGGCAAACATCTTGACCTTCCCAGGCCCGCTTCCTCACCTGTGCAAATGGTGATGCTGGTTTCTAACTGAGAGTCACTGGGAGGGCACAATGCATGTTTACAGGGACAATGCTCAGAGCTCCATAAGTGTTGGCTACTGTTATTACTCTGTGGGGGTCAGGTCAAAAGACACTGTGAACTCACCATACATCTTGCCTTCATCAGACAGAATGATTTTCCGACGGCCACATGGCGGGTAGATGGCCAGGGCTTCCTGGAAGCTCTGCTCAATGTCTGGGCTCCAGACACCCTCTGCATCTGGGCCCCCGTCTCCCCCAGCCCCCTCGCTGCCGCCGGTGCCCTCTTCACTGCCTTCCTCACTGCCTGTCCAGCCGCTGCCATCGTCCAGGGGGGCCCCAGCCCGGGGTTCCCCCATTTGGGCCTGGAGGAACACAGAGCTCAGCAGCCTTCCTCCCACCCAAAGAGGCTTGCAGCTGTGAGGGCTAGGATTCAGACCCCCGAGCCTGAGGGAGGACAGCTGGGTCCTGAACCCCTCCCTGGGTCTGAGGGAGAAGGGCTGGGGGTGGGACTCCTAGGTCTGAGGGACCGGGACTGGGCCTGGACCCCTGGGTCTGAGGGAGGAGGGCTGAGGCCAGGACTCCTGGATCCTAGAGGAGAAAGGGGATAGATTTCTGGGGTAGCTTAGGAGAGCTGTTCTCCCCTGAGTTTCCAGAGGAACTTAGATTAAGATGAAGTTCGGAATACCCCAGAGTAATGCCAAGGGCCATGAAGGTTGAAACTCTGGGTGCAGATTACTGGTTTTAAAGAGAGGAGCCGAGTTATTGTCGAAATGGAGAGTGGTGAAACCTTCTAGTCCCATCCAAGAACAGGTGTTAGGATGCCAGCGGCAGCTGCTAGAAGAGAAGGGGGAGGGGCATCGGCCCAAGGCAGGCTGTGCATAGACCCAGAGAGAGGGGGCAGAGACCAGAGTGAATGAGACACGAGATCCAGAGAGAAGCGGACTGACATCCAGAGAGAGGAAGAGGAGGAGGAGGTCAGAGAGAGAGGCAGAGAGATCAAATGAGATAGGAACAGAGACTAGGCCGAAACTGATACGGAGGCCAGGAAAGAGCCACAGAACCACAGGCTGGGGGACGGGGAAGCCCACAGAACCACAGGCTGGGAGCCAAGGGCACCCACAGAACCACAGCCTGGGGGACAGGCCGCCTGGCCATCTGGAGTGCCAGAACAAAGGGCCCAGGCGTCCCCTCCCCCAGCTTACCACAACCCCCGTCGGGGAGGGGCTGGCCAGTGAGGGCGCCTCCCCTCCGGCCCTCGGCCCCGCCTCCTCCCCTCCCCCCGCGCCATGGGCTCAGATCCAATCCAAGTTCCCAGTGACTTTCCGGAGGCCGGGAACAGGGAAAACTTTTTCCAATACAGCCCGATCCCGCCTCCTTGGAGGCTCCACGTCTTTCACGACTTTCCCAGGACCCCAGAGTCCCAGGTTCCCATCCCCCTCCTTCTTGGACCCTGGACCCAGGGCGGAGGCAGACAAAGACCCCAAGCCGAGTCCAGTGGCGCTGCAGCATTCAGGACCCCTGTAGGCCAAAATCCCAGCCCAACCCTCCCCCATGTGGCCAGACAAAGGGACGGAGGAGCAGGGTAAGAAAGATACCCCCTAATTTACCGCTCCAGTCCACAAATCTCCGAAAAGACAAGAAAGAGCATCCAGGACTCCAGATAGTTTTTTCCTCTACCACCCAGGACCCTTCCTCTTTGGTAAGGAAGATCAGACGCCCATAAATCACACGAGCTCACCAGTTCGGACAGAAATACGCAAGGGGTCTTTCTCGCTGCAAAGGGACACCGCTCACACTCACGCACCGCACGCCCGTGCCTGGGTCCGCAGCTCTCAGCCACTCCCGCGCGCACACTCCCAGACCAGACCCGTCATCAACACCCTAACTCCCCCGAAAGTTCCAGCTCCACACTTGGGCTCGGTCACGAACGCAAACTCGGGCCCCCAGGCAAAAAGAGGGCGGCGAGCAGTTGCGAGACGGTCCCACAAACACACGCCTCACCTCATCGCGCATAACTTCCCACCCCAACTCACACACCCCAAAGCAGGATCCCGACTCCCGCCGGCGCCTTCCTACCTCCCGGCCTGGGGCTGGGGAGCCGCGGGCGGGCGGGGCGCTGCAAGGGAGAAAGTTGCCGGGAGCTTTGTTTGGGAAAAGTGGGAGGGACCGGAGGGGGGGCGGGCCCGGGAGGCCGACTGCGGGAAGGGGAACTGTCGGTGACAGTTTGGGGAAGGATTTTTGCTCCGGGAGAGACGGATTCTTTCTGGAAGCTGGGAGGAACTCGGGATTCGGATGATTGGGCCCTAGGAGAGGAGGGGGATTGGGAATTTGTGCTCCTGGGTGTGAGGGGGGCGATTGGTTGGGAGCCGAGAAACCTGTGTCTGAAGAAGGGGGCTGGGGCCGAGACTCCTGGGTCTGAGGGCGCAGGCACCGGGATCTGGACTTGTGGGTGCGATCGTGGAGAGGTCGAGTCCCGGGCTCCCCGGGTTTGTGTCGGAGATAAGTGATGTGAACACAAAAGAGTCGTATTGTTATCCCCAACTTTATTTTTGAAGACTAGTGGCCTGGGATGGATTTTAATTGATTTCTTATGACAACACAGCATCCTTGTGACCTTACAGAATTAAGAGTCGTGAGCAAGACCCTCGGAATTTATTGGAGGTCCACAGAGGCACACACTCCCCATCCCCATGCACTAGTGGACGATGGCAGCTGACCCAGGACCCCGAGAGAGCCTCGGAGGCTAAGGGAAGAGAGGTAAGGTCCCTGACTCCTTAAAGATGAAGGGCTCAGTGTTCTAACTCACAAGACTAGAGGAGGATGGCTCCAGACCTTTGGGTCCTGAAGGAGAAGGGAGTTCGGGTTTAGGGTTCCTTGGAAGATGGAGTATAGGACTGTGTTTCTGAAGAAAACGGGGCTTTTTAAGTGGAACCGGAGAGGGAAAAAGAGAAGGGACACGTAGAAAGGCTCAGAAGTAGATATCGAACTGAAGAGTGAGGGAACTAGAAGAACCACTCGGACTCTGGAGTTTCCAGAGCACAAGGAACTTGAGAATGAAACAGCGCGGGAGCCAGATCTGAGGCGCTGAGGCGGGGCCCAGGTGCGGAGGCGTGGCTTGACGTTACGGGGCGTGGCTATCTGCGATTGGTGGAGGTCTCGGATGGGCGGGCCGGAATCAGAGAACACAGGCAGGGCCGAGGTGGACCGATAGGGGCGTGGTCCGATGTAAGAGGCGAGGCCCGGGAATGAGCGCGCGGCTCCAGGCTAAGGGGTGTGGTTAACAAAGAATGTGGGCGTGGCTATGCCCTCAGGGGCGTGTCCCTGAAGTAAAGACCTGAGCTCTTGGGTGACGTCAGCAGGTGGGGGTGTGGTCAGACAATAGAGGGTGGCTACGGCTCGAGCGTTGGCTCGAGACCAGAACTGTTTGGATTTTAACAGTCCGTGGCCCGGAGTGGTCCGGTGACCGGAGTGGTCCTGGAGTCCGGTGGCCGGCCGGGTTGTGGTCTAGCATAAGGGCGGGGCCCAGAAGAAGGGGCGGGGCGTGGGCAAAGGTGAGGAATGAGAACCGTGTATGAAGCAGAACCCAAAAGAGCTGGGTCTGGAAGGCGGGGTGACTAGGCTGGATGGAAGGGATGGGGGTAGAAGAAAAGGGGAGTAGGGGCTAATCGGCATGGTGTGGGGAGTTGCCTAGACAGGGACCGGGCAAGAGGCAGGAAAGAGGTGTCTTGGGCGGGTGATGAGTAGCCACTGCTGGGATGAGGGTTCTAACTCCTTCCCTTGCCGTAGCCTCCTCTCCCATCCCGCAATGTGGCATCCGCTGATTCTGCTGCTGCTCCGGTCCGCCCTGACGCCCCTCTCCTCTGCGGCCCCAATCCGCGAAACTGACTCCCAGGAGATATCCTCGGGTTTTCTAGGCCTCCAGAGCCTACTCCAAGGCTTCAGTCGACTTTTCCAGAAAGCAAGTGATGGCAAGGGTTGCTTGGAAGAAGTAGTGAAAGGTTTCAGGAAGACAGTGAGACAGGTCAGGGCCGGGCATGGGATCAGACGGGGAAAAGACAAAGAGACAGGGCAACAAAAAAATAGAACGAGAGGAAAAGTAACAGTCAAAGAGAATGGAAGATGAGACTGGAAAGAGAAAAAGGAAAGGAGAAAAAGGAAGAGGAAGAGGAGGAGAGGGGACAGGGACAGAGAGACAAATTGACAGGTGAGGATCAGGAATGGTAAAGCAATTGAACAGAGAGTACAGACCAGACAAATGAAGCTGGTAAATGAAAGATTAGGTTCTAAGGATCAAAGCACCTAGAGGAAAGGTGATGGGAGGGACTGGGAAAGACCTCTAGGGCATCCTGGCAGGGCTGGCAAATGCACTGGAGAGACGTGAGGTCCAACAGCTTACTGGTTACCCCTCTGGCATTAGGATGACCTGCTACGGGGTCTGGACAGCTTCTTCTCTGCACCCATGGACTTCCGGGTCCTTCCCAGGAACTTCCACCAAGAAGAGAACCAGGAACGTCACCTAGGGAATAACACCCTCTCTAGTCACCTCCAGATCGATAAGGTGAGTAAGCAGGAAAGTCCCTGGCATCTCCCCATCATCCCTCCCTCTGTAGTACCTGTTGGGCAGGGAGGGCAGAGGAGGAAAGTGGGTTTGCTTTCACTCTCTTTAACTCATCCTCTCACAGGTAACTGACAATAAGACAGGAGAGGTGCTCATCTCCAAGAAGGTAGTGGCATCCATTGAACCCGAGGGGAGCCTGGAAGGTGACTGGAAGGTTAGTACATGCCCTGTCCCTAAAGTGTCAAGTCCCCAACATTTTCTATAGTTTAGGAGGAGGGAGGAGGAGTTGATCCAACTCCTCTCTCTTTGTGGAACTACTTCTTTCTAGGCCTTAGCTTTGTAAACTGCCAACTCACAAAATGAGATTTACTACCTCAGAATACACCCCCAACTATTTACTAAACTCCAGAGGGTTTTGTGAGCTCCAAGTGTTTTGAAAGTGAGCCAAATAGGATATTGTGGCACACTCCAGACTAAGGCAGGATGACAGCAAGTTCAAGATCACTCTAGGCAACTTAGTAAGACCCTGTCTCAAAACAAAAAAAATTCAAAAGGGCTGAGGGTGTAGCTCCATAGTTAAGGGCCCTGGCTTTAATCCCCAGTACTGAAAAAAAGGAAGGGGGAAGACTGCTGTTGTAGTTCAGTGGTAGAGTGCTTACCTACCATGCATAAGACCCTGAGTTCAATAGTTCAATTCCTAGCACTGAAAAAAAAAAAAAAAAAAAAAAAGTAAATCAAGAAGTGCTTTTGATTGCAAGAGCTTGGTAAGCTCACCCTTGTAAACTTCAAAATGTGTAAGTGTTCTAAAATCCTCAGAATATTTTTTTAAATCTCAAAGTTCTTTGTCAACCTCTACCTTATAAACTGTAAGATGTGTTTTTTAATCCAGTTGCTTTATGAACTCCAAATACTTGTTGTACTTCACCTTTATAAACCTCTATGTATTATTCTAATCCCAAAGTGCTTTGCAGTCATCAGAGTATATTTACCTAAAAGTTTTAAGAATCTCAAAGTGCTTGGTGTATCCATGGGGTTCCCACATTCTTATACAGTTGTTTTAAATTTTTCAAACTATAATAATTATATTCTGCAAAAGAGCCAGTAGAGGGATTTTTTTAAATATATTTTTTTAGTTGTAGATGGACTCAATATCTTTATTTTATTTATTGATTTTTATGTGGGGCTGAGGATTGAACCCAGTGCCTCACACTTGCTAGGCAAGTACTCTACCACTGAGCCACAACCCCAGTTCTGGGATTTTTAAATGTCCCCAAACACAAAGAAATGATCAATGTTTTGAGGTGATAGATATACCAATAACAAGAAAAAAGTACAAACCTACAAAAAAAATTTTGTTCTTGTTGTTTTTTAAATAGTATAGTCATTGTATTCCCTTTTCCATAGGCCAAAGTTTCTCAACCTCAGAGCCATTAGCATTTGGGGCAGGACAGTCCTTTCCTGGGGGCGGGTGCTGACCTGGACACTGTAGGATTTTGTGTGTGTGTGTGTGTGTGTGTGTTGCTGGGAATTGAACCCAGAACCTTGTGCTTGCAAGGCAAGCGCACTACCAACTGAGCTATATCCCCAGCCTGGCACTATAGGATGTTTGAAAGCATCCTGGCCTCCCATTGGAAGAAAGTAGCACTCCCAACCCCTCCAATTGTGACAACAAATGTTTCCTGATTTGGATTGAGAATACCTGGAGTAGATTCATAACTTGTTAACATTTTGTTGACATCTGGATACTTCACCTCTAAATACATCAACAGAATCTACTAAGAAGAATATATTCTCCCTCAAGACCTAAGTACACACCTCAAATTTAATGTTGTTATCACTCTCTCTCTCTCTCTTTTTTTTTTTTTTTTTTGTGGTGCTAGGGATTGAACTCAAGGGTACTCGACCACTGAGCCACATCCCTAGCCCTATTTTGTATTTTTTTTTTAGAGACAGGGTCTCACTGAGTTGCTTAGTACCTCGCCATTGCTGAGGCTGGCTTTGAACTCCCAATCCTCCTGCCTCAGCCCCCTGAGCCACTGGGATTACAGGCATGTACCACTGTGCCCAACTCCCAAACTGCTATCTCTTTGCTAGGACTGCCATAGCAAAGTGTACTACAAACTAGGTAGCTTAAACCGCAGAAATTTCTTGTCTCAAAGTTCTGGAGGTTGGGTATTCAAGATCAAGGTGTCAACAGAGATGGCTCCTCCTGAGGGCTGAGTGAAGAAATCTGTTCCATGCTTCAACATGGCTTCGGTGTTTCACTAGAAGTCTTTGGTGTTCCTTGGCTTATATATGCCTTGCCCCCCAATCTCTGTCTTCTCTTTGCCTGGCATCCTCCCATTGTGTCTTTCTATGACCAGATTTCCTCTTTTCAAGGAGTCATCATCCTAAGACCTCATCCTAATTAAATCCGCAATGACCCTTTTCACAAATAAGGTCACATTCTGAGGTATTGAATGGTAGGATTTCAAAATATGATTTGGGAAGCTGGGCACAGTGGTGTGCGCCTATCATCCCAGCAGCTGGGGAGACTGAGACAGGAGGTTTATAAGTTCAAGGTCAGCCTGAGCAACTTAAAGAGGCTCCCAAGCTACTTAGTGAGACCCTGTCTCAAAATAAAAGTTTAAAAAAGGATTGGGGAGGTAGCTCAGTAGCAAATTGCCTCTGGGTTAAATGCCCAGTATCTCCCCCCATCCCCTGCCAAAAAAATGTTTAGATAGATAAAAAGATATATACATATGTATATGTGTGTGAATTTGGTGAGAATAGACACCTCCTACAGGGCTGCTCAGACCTCCGTTTGTTACAGATGCAGATGCTGCACTGCTTGGGCAGGTCCAGATGGGGTGGAACTCACTAGTTTACATGCCTCACAACAGCAGCCCACACACTGAGTAGCAAAGACCAATAAACAAATCAGCCCATATTCCCATTTGCCACTTGACTTAAAGCTGCCCTTGAAATCTGGTTTCATTTTTGATCCAGGATTCAATCAAGGATGACACGTTGCATTGATGGCCATGCTTGTTTAGTAAGCCCAAAAGCTTTTAATCCCAAAGTGCTTTGTCCATTTCAAACTGCCTTCAAAACCTCTGAAAGTGCTTTGTAATCCCAAAAGGCATTATAAACTCCAAAGTACTCTGTTATACATCCCTTTTGAAACCCCTCAAAAATATATTTTCAGTCCCAAAATGTCCTATAAACCTGAGTATTTTTAATCCTCAAGTGTTTGCAAGCCCAAGTGCGCAGTAAACCTCAAAGAAGCTTTTCAAAGTCCAAAGCACCCTACCAGCTGCATAGGGGGTGGACAGTCCCATGGGGATTGATTGCCCTGGGTGTGCTATTTGGTTTCCTTGTTCTTCCTCCCCAGGTACCCAAGATGGAAGAGAAGGAAGCCCTGGTTCCCCTCCAGAAATTCATGGACAGCTTTCACCCAGAACCGCATCCCCGAGTATCCTTCTGGATCATGAAGCTGCCACGGAGGAGGTCCCACCAGGATGCCCAGGAGGGTCACTGGCTCAGTGAGAAGCGGCATCGCCTGCAGGCCATCCGGGACGGCCTCCGAGAAGGAAGCCATGAGGAAGTCCTGGAAGATGGGACCCAAGGCTCCTCCCACTCTAAGCTGCCTGCCCGCAAAACCCACTTCCTGTACATCCTCAGGCCCCCCCAGCAACTATAAGAGTGGGGACCGGAAACCCACACCAAATGGAAATAAAATTCTTCTTACATCAAGCAGCACTATTTCCTTTGGGGATCTGTCCCCAAGCCCTGGCCAACCAGACCACAATAGTTGCCCCCAGTCTGAGCCTGAGCACCATGTCCAGCTATTCTAGCTCTCACCTAAGTCTCCAGTCTTGGTTTTCTCATTCATATTCTGTCTCCTGGTTGAGCAACTCCATCCCCTGTGGCCCCATTTATCCACTCAGTCCCCTGGCCTGTTACCTCCAGCCTGCTCTGTCCTCCCAGCCCCTAACTCACTCCAGTTCTCTCTGTCCACTTAGTCCCTGAATTTGTTTCCTCTGGATGCCCTAACAAATGACAACCAACTCAATGACCTAAAGCCACACAAATGTTCTATTCATAGATCAATAGGTAGGAAATCCAGGATGGCTCAGCTAGCCCTCAGTCTTGAGTTTCAAAATCAAGGCATCAGCTGGCTGGGCCCTTGTAATGGGGCTCCGAGAAGAAGTTGCTTGCCACTCAGGTTTTTGGCAGAATTTAGTTCAAGTCGTGAGCTATGCCATTAATATAGACCAAACATATATTGTCTTTCCACAACGTCAGAATTTATGAAATAATAAGTTAACAGGGGCTGGGGTTGTAGCTCAGTGATAGAGCTCTTGCCTCACATGGTGGAGCACTGGGTTCCATCTTCAGTACACACAAAAAATAAAGGTACTATATCCATCTAAGCTAAAAATTTTTTTTAAAAAAAGAGTAACTTGGGGCTGGGGATGTGGCTCAAGCGGTAGCGCGCTCGCCTGGCATGCGTGCGGCCCGGGTTCGATCC